GTAAAGCAAAGCCATTCATGCAGTCAATGACCTGAGCACTCTGGCGCAAAAACATATGATCGCACGGGCCCTCCCGGTGCGCTGCACCCTAGGTTTCGGCAGATGCTCAGTTTTTGATAAAATGCAAATTTTCAGTTCAATAAAAAGTGGAAATGTTGCTAGAGCGATCGTTCATCAAAAAGTCCAAGTGTGCAAATGAACTGAACGTTCATTTACATATTTGGATGAAGGCGGTCGTTCGCTGTAAAACGCGCTCGTTTCTAATGCGTTTTTGCCTATATGCAAATTGCAAAAACGCATATTGCGACGACTTTGTCAGTGTGTGTATGTTTGTGCGTGTGTTCGTCTGTCCGGGTATTTCAACCTAGCAACCAAGCAAGTTCCAGTGCCAGGATTTTGCTAGTAGGTCCCCCCGCCAAGTGCCACCCCAGAATCGCGGTACCAACTCTCATGCAAGTCTGGGTCCCGCATACGAGGGTGTGAAAGTTTTGGCGGGAAACTGATAATTCGGGAACGGGAAAAGATAGAAAGCTGAAATTTTGAGGTGCATTCCCCGTCCAAGTATAACTGAAGGGTTTCAAATTTAGCTCCCAGATGTGCGTGGTTCCCGCGTACAGCCCCGTGAAAATTTCTGGCGGGAAAATAGCCAACTCGGGACTAGCGAAGCTGGGAGGCTGAAGTTTTCAGTGAGTGTTCCCAGTCCATGTACGAATTAAATTTATCAAATTCAGCCCCAAGGCATGCGCGGTTCTCACATACGGCTCCGCAAAACATTTTTGGCGGGAAAATGGCTAATCTGGAAGGCTGAAATTTTCAAAGAATGTTCTTAGCATAAGTACAACATAAACCTATCAAATTCAGTTCCCAGTCGTACGTGGTTCTCGAATGAAATTTTTTGGCGGAAAAACAGCTAACTCGGGAACCAGAAAAGCTGGAAAGCTGAGATTTTAGGAGAATATTTCCTGTCCCAGTACAGATCAAAAGTTTCAAATTCAGCCTCCA